AGAATCGCTTGAACCTGGAAGGCGAGGAGGTTTCAGTGAGCCAAGATCACGCCATTGCACTCCAGCCTGGCAACAGAGCGAGACTCCATCTCAAAAAAATATATAAATAAATAAATAAAAAAAAATAAAAAACACTCCTCTTTTTCTAAGTCCTTTGTCATTTGTCTTTTGTCTTTCTCTTTTCTCTTTCCTTCTCTTCCTTATGCCCCCTCCCACCTTTTCATTCCCCAATTTCTGTTGCTTTTCATTGGAAACTAGCTTAGTTATTTCTTTGGTCTTTGCCTCTATTTACCCATACTCTCAGTTTGTCTTCCACCGTAGTGGAGAATATTAGTTTATCAAGGTATTTTTTTAAACAACGACACTTAGTTTCCTAAGGGAAATGCCCATAACAACTTTCAAGATAGCTTTACTCTTATACTGGAGTGAAAAAGAGTTCTGAATCCTGTTGCCCTATTTGTTTCAAATACTTTCTCCACTTTGCTTAACTAATGGGTACTAGGCTTAATACCTGGGTGATGAAATAATGTGTACAACAAAACTGTGTGACACAAGTTTGCCTATGTAACAAACCTACACATGTGCACTTGAGCTAAAAAGTTAAAAAATATTTAAAAAATAAAAAAAACAGTAATCAAAAAACAAAATAATTGATTGCTGGTATAATTCCACCCTGCACAGCTGTTCTCTGGAGTGTGGTCCTTTACCTCTTCCTGGCTTCTCTCCTACCTAAGTGCCCGTGCCTCCACCCTAGATTTGATGGACATGGACACGAGCCACGTAAGGCCCTGGAACTATCTTTCTGGTTGTGAACTAGAGTCCAACAAAGATTATCACTTTAAGGTGGATAATGATGAAAATGAGCACAAGTTATCTTTAAGAATGGTCAGGTTAGTAGCTGGTTGAATTGCATATTGTTGAAGCAGAAGTAATAAATTACAAAGGCAGACTTTATTACTTTAACAGTAACACTAGCAACTTTAAACATGTATGTACAGTCAATGGTTTATCTCGGGGGCTTTGAAATAACATCACCTGTGGCCTTACAATCACAACGTGTTTCAAGGCCTGGGCATATGAGTGGACAGTACTTAATAGGTGTGAAGGAAGATGCAAAGCGGGAGATGAAGAGGAGGGAGATACAAGACTTCAGTATACCTGGAAAGTGATCTGCCCCGGCAGTGGGAGCATTTCCACAGGAAAAAATAAAACTTCTTGCCAATGAAAATCATGATGATGATGAAGAGGAAGATTTTGATGAGGGGAAAACTGAAGAAAAAGCTCTAGTGATGAAATCTAATCTATACAAGATGCTCTATTCAAAAAATGCACAAAAATCAAACCAAAATAAAAAAGACTCAGAACTATGAAGATTAAGACCAAAAGGTCAAGAATCCTTCAAAAACAGGGGAAAAAACCTCTTAAAACACCAAAAGGACCTAGTTTTGTAGAAGACATTAGAAGAAAAATGCAAGCAAGTATAGAAAAAGTTGGTTCTCTTCCCAAAGCTAAATGCATCAGTTATGTGAAGAATTGCTTCTAGATGACTGACCAGGAGGCTATTCACGATCTCTGGCGGTGGAAGAAGTCTCTTTAAGAAAATAGTTTAAACAGCTTGTTAAAATTTTCTATCTTTTTTTTCTTTTCTTTCTTAAGTCTTTTAACCCAATGGTTCTTTTAGAGGCAAAAATTATGTCATTTCATTTCTATAACAGTTGATATCTAACTGTTCTTTTTATAATACAGAGAAGCTCCCTACCATGTTCGATAAATATCATCAGGTTCCATTGCCAAAACTGTGTAGTCCAAATGCCCCTTTAGTTTTTAAAGATAAAACTCCATCCTTTGCTTGTTTCTTTTTCTTTTCTTTTCTTTCTTTTTCTTTTTTTTTTTTTTTGAGACAGAGTCCTGCTCTATCACTCAGGCTGGAGGGCAGTGGCATGATCTTGGCTCACTGTAGCCTCTGGCTCCTGGGCTCAAGTGATTCTCCTACCTCAGCCTCCCAGGTAGCCGGGATTACAGGCATGTGCCTGTATTTTTGTAGTTTAGTAGAGATGGGGTTTCACCATGTTGGTCAGACTGGTGTCAAACTTGTGGTCTCAAGTGATCTGCCCACCTCAGCCTCCCAAAGTGCTGGGATTACAGGCATGAGCCACCATGCCTGGCTCTTTGTTTGGTTTTATGTATATATGTATGTATGCAATATTATGATAGGACATAGTAGTAGCCATGGTCAGACAAATGGAAATGGTGGGAAGACAAAAATATTCAAGTGAAATAAGCTCAATATTTTAATAAAGGAAAAAATAATTTTTTTTCCTTGAAAAAGTTGTAAGAAAAAATAAATCTTTTCCTGTGCATCTCAGGAGTGCTTTAAACTTAGAAGTTGTTTCTAGATAAGTAGGTTTAGCTAGGTGGAAATGGAGGAAAAGGCATGGCATGCCCGTAGATACCTAGTATGCTCCTATGCATAGTACAGTACAGAAAAGTCAGTTGCTTCTCTGTAAAAACATATTACTTTACTATTAGACACCATTGGAAAGAAATCATGCCCTGCTTATATTAAACATCTTTGCTAGATTTTTTTATTTGATTTTTTGAGATTCGGTCTTGCTCTCTTGCCCAGGCTGGAGTGTATGGTGAAATCATAGCTCACTGAAGCCTTAAACTCCTGGACTCCAGGGTCCTCCCACCTCAGCCTCCTGAGTAGCTAGGACTACATGCATGCACCACCATGCCCAGCTATGTTTGCTAGATTTTAAAGTGAGATACACTAAACCTCATAAAAATTAGAGCTAACGCCAGGCACAGTGGCTCACGCCTGTAATCCCAGCACTTTGGGAGGCTGAAGTAGGCGGATCACAAGGTCAAGAGATCGAGACCATCCTGGCCAACATGGTGAAACCCTGTCTCTACTAAAAATACAAAAATCAGCTGGGCGTGGTGGCGTGCACCTGTAATCCCAGCTACTCCGGAGGCTGAGGCAGGAGAATTGCTTGAACCCGGGAGGCAGAGGTTGCAGTGAGCAGAGATTGCGCCACTGCACTCCAGTCTGGCACCTGGTGATGGAGTAAGACTCTGTCTCAAAAAAAAAAAAAAAAAAAATAGAGCTAACATTTACCGAGGACTGTTATACTGCCCCCCAAGTATAACATGGTAATTAAAACACTGGAGGCCAGGCACGGTAGCTCACCCCTGTAATCCAGCACTTTGGGAGGCCCAAGCTGGCAGATCACTTGATCTCAGGACTTGGAGACCAGCTTGGCTAACATGGGAAAACCCATCTCTACTAAAAATACAAAAATTAGTCGGGCGTAATGGTGCATGCCTGTAGTCCCAGCTACTCAGGAGGGTGAGGTACAAGAATGGCTTGAACCTAAAAGGCGGAGATTTCAGTGAGCTGAGGTTGCACCACTGCTCTCCAGCGACAGAGCAAAGATTCCATCTCAAAAAAACAAAAACAAAACAAAAACCCCAAAAACACTGGAAAATGGTGTGAGGTATATTTCAGTTTAGGAATTAAGAATCCGAGACAAAAAGTCTGCTTCAGGACCACACACAAGCATGAAGAAATCCAGATATTTCAAGCATAGACCTTAAAACCGCACTGTCTAAAGCTGTTGTCACTGGCCTTCTGTGGCTATTTAAATTTCAATTAAAGTGAGATAAATTTTATAATTCAGTTACTAAGTCACACTAGCCATATTTCAAGTGCTCAACGGCTCCATGTAGCTAGTGGGTACTGTACAGACAGCACAGGATAATATTTGCATCATGGCAGAAAGTTTTAGTGGATCTAACAAAAAAAGTTGTCTTTAGGCTTATTTTGTGATTGCAGATAAAAGCCACTTGAATTCTGACAAGTTTCTAAAGCCATGTTACAGAACTGGTAATTATAATTGCGTGAACTTCATCCAAAACTGGTGAAAGCATCAGGTTGAGGATAGTCTGGTGGTTGCTACTTTCTGTTCACCCTAATACGGAGGCTCTAGGAAATTCTGTGGTGAATTTCTGCAGGCAGACACAGCAGAAAAGGTATAGGATAGGCCAGAAAACCTGGGTCCTACAATATATGGGAATAATGACGAGCATTAACTGGTTGTTTCCTATGTACCAGGCACTATGTTAACTACATGCTTCATTAAATCCTCACAATACCACAGTACAGTATTTATTTATTATTACCACCACTTAGCAGGTGAATAGGCTGAAGTTCAGAGGTGTAAGGTCACACAGCTAGTAAATAGGAGAGCCTGGATTTAACACCTGGTGTCTATTCCCTTGTGCTAAACAACTCTGCGTCCGCTGATTCTTCACTTTCCTTATCTGTAAATCTGAAAGGATTAAATTTTTTCTACTGTTTCTAAAACTCTGTGTTCTAACTTAGGACATTACCATCCATCTTCCCAAGCTAATGAAATATGCAGAGTTCCAAAGAGCAGCTTGCTACCTATTTTTCTCCAAAGGACATGCTTTCCCCTGTCTGTGCCTCTGTCCTAAAACCTTTAATTTCCCAGTATCTAATGTGGTTTCAGCTATTTATGAGGCGCTCTCGTGGCAAGGAGTGATCCTCTCCAGGAGGCAATCCTAAAAACGAGCGCAGTGCTTGGCGCACAGTAAATGCTCCATGGGCCACTTATGAAATTAAGTCCAAGTGGACTTCAAGGAAAATGTGAATCTGCTGAAATGAACTATTAGCCAGGACACTAGGTAGAAAACCGGGCTGACGAAGAAAGTGGAGAAGCCCGTGTAGGGGGCTAGAGACAATTTTTGATCCGCAGAAGCCTGAAGTGGGGTGCCGTTAGGCCTGGTGGCAGTAACGTTTACTAGCGGTGGACAAAACGCCGCCTGCGACACTGGAAGAAGCAGAAAACCCCACCTACTCTGAAACAACAACGATCGGCCCCGACTCTGGGGTCCCAGTGGCGCCCCGCAGCCTCCTCGCCCTGCCCCTCTCCCGAGGCCCAAACAGTGGCAGCAGCTGCGGCTGCGGCTGCGCAGTGGGGCGCGCGTAGGCGGAGCGGCGCGCGCCGCGGTCAGCTGACTGCTCGGCTGGCACGTGACTTGCTCTGTGGCCGCTGGGTCGGGGAAGCAGTGAGTCTGGAGCTAAGGTCGGGAAGGGATGGAGCGCTGAGCCGTTAGCGTCTGCCTGGCTGCCTGCCTCCGCACCTGTTACTGCTGCTACTTCCTCCTTTGACACCTTCCTGGGTCAGTGAGCGATGGCTGTCCCCGGATGGGGAGTCCAGGCCAGGCCAAAGCTTGCGCTGCGGTCACCGCCTGGGAGGGATGGGGGTGGGTGCGGGGGCAGAGACCGTGGCGTTGGAGCTGGAGCTGGCTGGGTGGCTGCCCCTGCTTTCTCGGAGCCAGTTCACCGTCCCGGGCCTAGGTTCCGTCTCTAGGGAAGAGAAGGAGGGAGAAAGAGAGCTCTTGTGAGTACTTAGAGGCAGAAAGGAGAGAGAGAGCGATCTGGGACCTTTCTTCTTGGGTAGGGGTCACAGAATGTATGCCTCCTGATTGAGGGGGATGAAGTGACAGAGAGGCCCCGGTGAGGCTATGGGGTGGTGTGTGTGAGATCACAGCTAGCGCAAGTGCCTTCCCTGCGTGTGTGCGCGCGCGTGTGTGTGTGTGGTGGGGGGAGGTGGTTCCGGGGGTGGTGGGATGACAGTTTAAAAGGCCTGGGAGCCCCTCATTGCAGGCACAGAACCCTCACGGAGTAACAGGGTCCGTCTAGGAATGGGAAAGTACAGGAATCCAGCGAATTCAACAATGTTTTAGTAGAATGGGGGAAGGGTAGGCAAAAAAACAAAACCCTAGAAGAGAACTTGGGGAAAGTCACATAAGGCATATTGAATCACTTGAGAAACAAGAGGAGTGAGGGGGGACCTAGTATTCTTTACCGAGGAAAATTCTGGTATGTTAGGGAAAAATCATTGAGAGCCCAGTATTTAGCACTGCTCTGGGAGTGGAGGGTTGGGATGTAACAGTCCATCCTTAGGAGTTCGCACTAATGTTGAAAGTCACACACAGGACTATGCAGTTTATGTATAATTACCAAAAAGAGAATGCGGAGTTCTTTGAAAGTGTTGGAGAAAGGACACGTGTATAAACTGGCACTATGGGAAAATATTGTGGAGGAAAGAAAACTTGAGTCTGGGCAAGCCCATAGGATTTGAATAGGTTGAGAGAAATGGGGATAATTTTACAGGCAGGGAAAGCCACAGGAAAACCTGAAGATGGGGGGTTGGGGATGCTTCTGTGGGAGTAGAAGTTTAGCTTTATAGTGGATTGCACTGTGGAGAAGTGGGAAAGAAAGTTGGGGATCAGATAACGAGGAGTTTTGAATGGTATTCATTTACTCATGCAAATAATGTGTGTTGAATACATGCTGTATGCAGACACAGTGCTGATGGTAGGATTTAGAAAATTGTCTCTGTCTTTGTAGAGCTTACGGGCAAATAGGGGATGGATTTTAAAAAGCAAGCACGAAATGTGCTTTGAAGGACTAGCAGTGGTATGAAAGAGTATACTAGGGACATGGGTATTATGGAAGATTTTAAAAAGGTGTTGCTGAGAATATGACTTTTTAAAAATTAAAAAAATTTTATTTATTTTCTTCATACCCTTTCCCTCTGAGAGGATATGACTTTTGACCTGAGATCTGAAAAGAGACTGAGAAGGGGATGTGAAGGGATGAATGAAAAGAACATTCCAGGCCTGGCAGGGTGGCTCATGATTGTAATCCCAACATTTGGGAGGCTCAGGTGGGAGGAATGCTTGAGGCCAGGAGTTCAGGACCAGCCTGGGCAACATAGTCAGACCCCCCATCTCCACAAAAAATGAAAAAAATAACTAGCTGGGAATGGTGGTGCATGCCTCTAGTCCTAGCTACTCGCTGCTCGGGACACCGAGGCAAGAGGATCATTTGAGCCCAGTAGTTTGAGGCTGCAGTAAGCTGTGCTCACACCACTGCATTCTCTCCTGCAAAACAGAGCTAGAACCTGTCTCTGAAAAACAAAAAAAGGAACATTTCAGGCTGAAGGAACAGCATATGTCAAGGCCCTGAAATGTGAAGAGGAAAAAAGCTTTCGAGAGTTTTTAAAAAGCTAGCATGGCTGAAACGGGGAGGCGGAGAGGCACGTGGAGAAAGCTGGGGTCAGGCCGACCAGAGCTTTTATCCTAAAAAAGAGGGAAGCCAGTGAAGATTACAGGCAGTGGAGTGAGTCAGACTGTGGCTTTTGAAAAGATAATTTTGGGAGTAACGTGGAAGGTGGCAAATGTGAATGAGTGGAGACCCGCTCAGGGGAACATTGTTGTAATCCACTGAAGGATTTGAAGGCAGGATACCTTCTTTTTCCACTGAAGACTTCAGGAGAATGTTTAACTGTACTCACTCTTAGAGGGTTCAGGAGTTGGGGAAGGGAAAGAATGATTAGATTCTACTTGCACCCCTCACAGGGTAGTTACAACTACCCTCGAGGCAGTCCTGAACATATATAGGGGAGGCTCCTTTGCAAAAGTTTGTTTTAGCTTTTCAAATTTATCCTTTTGTAAGGTCATCTATTTCAGAATATTGTTTATTGAAATATAGTTAGTTACAAAGAGGGTCACTTTCATGTTTATTTTGTTCTCACAGTTCTTTGAAAGACAGTAGATGAAAATGCTATTCATTGTATAGATGGGAACCTATTAGACCCCTGGAACTGGAAACGGATAAAGTGATTTGTCTTGAGTCTGGAGTAACTTCCACAGTTTTCTGACTGCTCATGTATTCTTGCTGATTATGTACACAGTACTAACCAAGTCGCATCTAGAGAAAAGGGTGAATTTTTTGAAGTGCACAGTAGTCTTTGATTCAGCACTTTTTTTTGCAAACTTCTTCCTGAAGATTCAGCACTTTTGCTGAACTTTTTCTAGTAGAACAGTTTCAGAGGAATTGGCAGTGGTGGGCTGCGTCTTATCTATAGTGTTGGGGAGAACTGTTCAATTTACAGTTCATCTGGAGATAATAAACAGCAAGGTGAACTGAAAGTGTTCAAGTTGTCAATCACAGGTCTTTGGCAACAAGTGAGTCTCAAATTATGCTGAAGACTGAGCTTCAGGGTTGTGTCCTGGATTTTTTTCTCTTTTGGTATACCTTGCAGGGACTAGATAAAATCTAGAGAAACAGTACACAGGATCTAACTAAATGCTGAGAGCTGGATAGTGTAAGTCAGGTTTTAAAACTCAGCACAAAATACTTATTTTTATTTTTTGGTATATTAGTCTTGGAAGCCTCATGTACATTAGTTTTTGCAACCTAAAAAGAAACTTTAGGGCTTCAAAAATCTGATTCTGTGATTATTTCCACAACTCGTAAGATAATGCCATTGGCCAAAGAACAAAACTGGAATGCCAAAGTAAACCTTTGCCAAAGGTCTCTGTGTAGTTTACTGATCCCTAAGCAGTAAGTTGTCTTTTGAACTTGATTCTGCTTAGGAGTACTTACATTTTGCTCTTGTATGTATTTAAATCTATCTACAGGATACATCTTTTTCACTGTTTGGATGGGGAATTATATATCATTTTATTTATAAATTAATTAATGTTAGATGTCTGTTTTTCATCAAGTTCTTAAGACAGACAGTATATACATTAGCATAGTGCTCTTGAGAAGCTCAGTCAATGAATAACAGCAGTCTAAAATTTCCTATTGACGTGAGTGATTCTTAGAACTAGAAATTTTAAACTATATTCTTGATGCTGAAACAAAATTCTTTTCCAGCAGGACATCTACTTCTAACATTATACCATGTGCAGCTGTGCTATGCATTTATTGAGTTAAAAAATGAGCCAGGTAGGCAGTGGAGGAGAAGTGCTTTGGTTATATCAGGGGATAAAAGAGTATTAACTGTGTATCTAAAATGTGGGGGGTGTGTGTGTGTCTGTGTGCAAGTATGTGTGTGTATTTGAAAATAAAATGCTAGGTAAGTGGTGTTTTATAGAAAAAGATCAATGTATGTTTTAAGGTATTTTAAACAGACTATCAATGAATAGGAAGTTGTAAATTTAGATGTGTGAACGGTTTAACTTTATCATGAAAGGTTTTCCTTTTGAATCAGCCGATAGTTTTAGTGTTTCTGTGTGGGTGCTATTGGCAGTTTGGAGGTCTATTTCACCCTACCAACTAAATCCTGATTAGCAGTCTCCACACTGGGACAACCCAAAACACTCCCATATATTTCCAAACTCCTCCTGGAGGAAAGAGGCACCGTTTATTTGGTTGCAAAACATGCATGTGGTGTTACCGTTTATTTGTTGGACAAATATTAAGTTGTTGGGGATATGGAGGTTAAAAGTAATATTTTAATAAACTGCGTATAATTGAATTCAAGTGATTTAAAATCCAGTTTTTGATATATTAATGTGACTCCTTTAGTATAAAATTACTAAAACTATATCCTGATATGTCTGTGAGGCACTTGTCTTTTGTAAAACTTCACGAATAACTCAAATAGATTTCCCTCAATCCCAATAAAATGTAGTCACTGACTGTCACTGACTGTGGGCAGCTAATTTCACCAGCTGTTCCCTCATTTGCAAGTGGGGGTGGTGATAACATCTATTTTGAAGGAATTAAGTACAAAATTGCTTTAGTGGATGGAAGTGCTTATCACTGGGCACAATACATGTTACATATTCAGTAGTTGTCATTACCAGTAAACAGAATCTCAAGCTTACTTAGAGTCATGAATTGGAGAAAACAAACTTATCCTAAAGTCTTGAATTTCAGGCCAATGTACATTGTGTTGGGGATATCAGCACCTTCTAGCACAATGTGGTTCCGTGATCCAGTCACTGTTATAAACTAACAGCCCTGAAGAAAAGGGAAGTAATGTTTTGGGAGCCAGGAGTGTAGATTGAGGGAATCCCCTGGCATGGAAGGAATGATTTGTCCTCCAGGTCACTGCTGAGTTGCCTGTGCAGAGGAGGAGTCTCTAGAAGCTGAGAAGGTTTTGGTGATTACATGCAGTAATAGGTGTATGACAGGGTCCTCCTGGCCAAGTCTGCCAATTCAGCAGCTTTACCAGAAGTTACCAGAAATTTTCCAACATTGTATTATTTGTTACATCTCCAACCCCCACTCCACAATGTGTTTCGTTTTTGTGATACGCATCTGTGTGAATGTAAGGCTTTGCTTTTAGATTAATTTCTATGCGCCTGTAGTCCCA